TGTTCTCTAAATGTGAAGCCATTTGCTTTTTCCGCTCATAAAAAGCTAAAGAGCATTCATAGATAATATTAAATGGAAAAAAAAATATTCATGTAAAATCGAAAATACAATAAAAGGCAGCACTTAAGAAAATCGTTGTTTTGTATTAGGATTTTCGTATTTTTTTTAAAAAAATTACTTTCGATGAATCCATTATTGATGATATCCATTTGTAAAATGTTAAATGGTATTTTTGTTAGCGAACAATGGAAAAAGAACACCACACAAGCACATTTTTTAAAATATATTTTTTTCTTTTAATTCCCAAAATTATTTAGCCTCCACTCTCATAAAAGAGATTTGATTTTGCATATTTCTTATTTATACGTAGAAGTGTTTTTTTTTTCAAATTGTAAAGAATATTATTTTGAACAAAACTATACAATACCACAAAGTGGTTTTGGCGTATTTTTAAAAAAAAACTCGTCTATGGAAAGTAGCTTGTAAGTTTATCATGTTAAGGGTCTGTTGATTGAAAAATTATTGAATATTAAAGCCCCACTTTGAAGCCAGACGAGGACTACTGGCAACGGACCTTCTAATTTTGAACCAAGTCCAAATGACAAGGACTACACATAAGATCATTATCCACTATCCAAACATTCACACCACGCAAACGTAAAGACTCTTAACTTTCGAACTGAAAACAATACCAGCCATAGTTCATGACCATGACCATTTTGCTTAACCCAGAACTTCGAGGTCCGTTGCCAACGGCTCTTGTGTTACTTTATTATGTAACGTTAATAAACACTCCCCCTCCCAAGACCCTCGAGCCCTAGAACACACACACACATGCTAAGATTCCCTTTTTTTTTAAATAAATTTTTAACTATTTCTGTAATAGTAAATTTCCCTTTTGTCTTTATCAGAAATGAAAGAGATAACTTTAAGTCATGATGTGTTGAAGTTTCCTCCAAACACTTTATTCCAATGCTTCTCAAACTTTCAATATTTACGACCCAATTTACACAATCATAATTTTCATTGCGTCCCTTCCCCCCATGCAATAACAATATATGCAATTCAATAAAAATATACTTTGATGCTAATTTAACAATCCGACCTTTAATTATAAACCGTACAAATTATCAAAATAAGTATTCAATATATTTTACAAAACTTTTAAGTAATACATATTTTAAGTTACTTATATGTAATATGATATATATTACACTATTTTTCCTTTGTAATTTTTAAATTGGAACTCATTGCAATAAACATGCAACGTATATTTTATTTTTTATTATATCAAACTGTATTATGTTTTGCTTCCTTTTAATAAATTAATATTTTTTAAATCTTTTCTTTTTTCGCTTGTCGATATGCTCGCGCTATCACACTTAGGGTAATCACACCCACCTCGGGGGTTGCACCCCACAGTTTGGGAACCGCTACTTAAATCAAATAAAGTTGATTTCCAATCAAACTATTTTTTTTTCTTGTATCATTCTATAATGTATAGGACAAGTTGATTGGACATCATTAAAATCTCTGTAACCAGATATTTCGGTCAAAAATAAATTAAGATTACCAGAAACGCGTATTTATTGAATTGACTCCACACAGTTTCTAATATTTTTATTCGAGTCTTATTTGATTTAAATGCAATGACATAGCATCGGCATATATATAAATTGAATGCAAAATCATTTAATTAAATTACGATCAGTGATGCTTTACAAATTAAAATGACTGAGCGCACTAATGCCTTCTCCAAACTTATTTGTTAGTAAAACTACCGTAAAATGTGTGTTGATCGATATCTGGCATAATTTCCCCTCGCTCCATCGGAGATAATGTGTCTCTCTTCACTTGATGCATTTAATGAGGCAACAACACAAAAATAGTCGCCAGTGTACCAATGCGAAAAGTTCCGGCTAATTTAAATGGACGCCATTTGCAGGGAATGTTGTCACAGGGAATTATCCAATCAGATTGCCCCAAGTTGTTTATCGGAAATCTGACCAACTCGATGTCCTGCAGCCAGTTCGCAATTATCCGGCTGCACTGCCAAGAGATTATCGGAAGAGTCCGGCAAATACGCGATTCCAAACTGCCTTCGAATCGAACAATATTGCCTTGCAGCATTCCAGTTTTCTTTTTACATCATCAATGTGTTTGATACTGGGTTAGCACAACTCGCATTTATTTACGTAATTAATATCTCGCAGGCAGCCTTTATTCAGGAAATTCTTTATGAAAGTGGAAAAGGAATGAGTGTTGTCCAAGTTTTTTAGCTATCTAATTGCCATAAATTCAGGAGTATAACGCGCACTTTTTTAATAAAAAAAATAGATCAAAATTTATGGATGTGCACTGAACACCGAATACTAAAACGATTGTCCTAAAGATAAAGAAAAAATTAGCATAACAAAGTTGGATTTGTACATGTGTCTAAACGCTGTTATTTTAAAAGGGAGGACATAGCATATGAGCTGCCATTATTAGATGATATGAAATATTCGTCATATTTGTATATACCAGTGGTTTCTTAAGTGGTCCTTAGGCTCCCCAGAGGTAGGTCCTTGATATTGTTCAGAGAGTTCGTGAAAAATTAAAATTGATTTGGAGGTCCCTGAACAACGTCAAACGGTCCACACATGGTTTAATTTAAAATAAAAAGGTCCATTTTTATTTCTATGGAAATTTAAATAATTAATAATAATGCACTTGGATTATTCCACCTGGATTCTGAATCCTTTTGAGCGTGGACTAATTCAGATCCCAAACACATAAATCTAGAGTAATACAGGATCATCTTATTTAAATATCCACAAATGAGGAACTTAAACTAATGTTTGAACAAGGATACAACAAGTTCTGCTTACAAAATCTGATCCCAACTTTATATCCTGCATTATGGGTTATTGTACAAAAGTTGTTGACTTTGGTAGAACGTGATTCAATGCCGTAAAAAAACCTCATCACAAAAAAAGAAAGAAGAAACCGACCACTCGTTAGGATTTGCTGTTCCTACTCATAAACATTGAGACGGACATAAATATGCTCACAACATTTCAAGAAGTTCATCCAAGTTAATAGTTATTATTATTATTGTTGTTATTTTATTTTACTTTAAACACAAAAAAGTTATAATTTCAATAAATAAAACTCATCAACAAATTAAGTTGTTTTTTTTTTTTAATTTCATATGATGCATTTATGTAGCTTTTTCACTTGGGTGTCCTTAAGAAAGTTTTGACTTTAAGAAGGGATCCGTGGGAGAGTTTTGACTATAAAAAGGGGTCCATGGGTCATAAAGGTTTAAGAACCACTGGTCTATACAATCATGCATCCCATCATCCAATTCTAGCTTATTTTTTCACCATCATTACTACTATGAACCATGGATAAATTACCATCTTCCGTTTCCTCTATATTGTTAGATATACTTTATTTTTAATTACTTTTTAATTATGACAGGTTCAATTTCATTCCATGCCATGACTAATTACTCACACTCTATATATAGACTTCATATTATTGTATTGTTTGCTAAATAAACATTGGTCGTGTACATTTCAGGTTTCTTCGTAAATAAAAGAAAGAAAGGAGCGTATCATATACAGCGAATATACCTAAAACTTAAAAATACAGTTTGGACTTATGAGTGCGAGTTATATACGCTGGTTCCTGTAAAACACCGAAACGTACGGTATTAAAATAAAAATTTTAATTATCTTGTTCTTTCAAAACATGGCAAAAATGAGTTCTGATTTTTTTTAAAGGCTATTTAATTAAATGATAAAAAATCACGCATTTTAATATTTATGCATAGAATCACCTTTAATTCGCCTCCACTATTATGTGTATGAATATTTTTTTCAAACATCACTGCACTGCTTGCATGGCAAATTTTACAAACCCATCTACAATTAGTATTTATGAAGTTGTTTTATTTTAAGATGCTATCACATGACTCGTAATGATCCCAAAGATTTAAGAAAAAAATAAATGAAACGAAAAAACTAACCTCTCCCATTCCATCAAAAAGTTATTTCGCATTCGAATATTTAAATAAGATTTGAATGTGATTTGAGGAGCAATTTAAAAGCAAAATGTTCCGGTTAATCGTCCCGAAAAACCACGAGAAATCGCGCTCTCGCGTGACTTCTTTGCGAGGTGGAAGGACATCTGTCACAAGGACAATGTGTCCGCTCTGAAGATGAGGGTGGTCTGGACCTCGATTTAGGCACGCGAATAGGTCATTTGGAACCTCCCCTCCCCCACCTCTCGATTTCGGAGGGATTCGAGAACTCTTCGATACATTTTTCAGCAGCAGGTAGGTGAGCGACAGAACGGCCTGGGAAAAGAAAATAGAATTCAGGCCCCGGAACAGATGTGTTGCCAGATTGAAGTGGGGGGAATCGACATTTATTCATACAAACGATTTTCAACGAGCAAAAAAATTTTGAAGGCTTCCAGATGAATCTTTCAGTACATCGCACTTAAATTTACATGCACATTTTCTACTTCAAAGTATTGTATAAAACATATTCATAAAATGCTTTAAAATCGCAAATAAATCTAAACGCATAAACGTGTCAAAACATATTAGAAAACGTGCCAACGCATTTAAACGTCATTTATAAAGGAGTCATGAAACAAAACCGAAATAAACGTTAGCAGACCTTTGTAAAAAGTTAAACATTGTGAAATTAACGAAATTACTGAAAAAAGAAGTAATATAAATTTTTTAAAAAAAAGTCAATTCCTGCTTAGGTTAACAAAGAAAAAAATATTTTAGTTACTTTTTATTAAATAATTACAATTAATATAAATATGTATATACATATGACAGAATCACAATTTTAAGTGGCAAAGTAGAAAGTACTTTTCCTTTCTATATGTGGTGTTGGACTATTATTTTTGTTTGTACTATTTATTCATTAATTAAATTTAATTATCTCAGTAAATTAGTATAGTTAAAATAAAAATCATATTCTAAGAAATTAGACAATGCCAGGTGGGATTGGAATCCACGATCTTTGGATTAAAAGTCCAATGCACTACCCAGTGCGCTGCAGGGACACCCCGAGCGATTTTCCTTTTTACGTACGGTGTTAGACTACTATTTTTGTTTGTTACTAATTATTCATTAATTAATGAATTAATATTTAAAAAAAACTGTATTAACGTGTAAGTGTCATCCACTACATATTTATAAAAATTTATTTGAACTTGAGTGGATAAATAAAAAATATGTTATTAACGATTGAAAATTTGAATGATATAAAAATACATAAATATATATACTGGAATTCAAATATATCTATATCTATATATAGAAATATTATTTTTAACTATATTTATCGTAATAATGTATTACTTAGCGATAAAGCTAATATTTATTTAAATCTTAATATCTTTATTAAACAATGTATTGAACAAGGATATCCTGCTAACTTTCTTTACAATTATATTTCTAATAGTTCTCAGTGATATGCAATATGTATTACAGTTACAGTTAATATTTTTGTGTGGGATATGGAGCGACAAAAGCTATTATCCCATACAATATGTATTAATAACTATTATTGACATTATGTTTTAATACTAGTATTTTTAACTAATGATACACTTATTCAATAGATGGCACCACATGTTTAATAACTTAATAATATTGTTATTTAAATATTTCTTGTAATCATTTATTTCCACAAATATTTATGGTTTTTTAAACGTATATATATATATATATATACTATTCTATCATAATTTTTAACTTTATGCGGTACTGATATTCCTCTGTTGTATTTAGTGGGAAACATAACCAGTTGATAAACTCACGAAGTATGTCTAACTATTTACCTTTTGCGACGACTTTAAATATATACTATATTGCATATTAAATATTATATTATTAATTAATATAATATTTATTAAATATTGTATATAAATACTATATTATATTAATATTGTATATACTATTAAATATATTGTAGGCTATAATTTTACCGTTATATTTTATTAGTATAGTGATTTTATTTGTAATATTTATATTTCTCCTAAAATTATTCTTTCCTTTCCTCTTGGCACTTTGTATAGACATAATTCAGGTCATGGTTGGCTAGCCCTAAAACTTGTTTAAACCTGCAATATTGGATCCTAAGGCCAGGAGTTTGTTATTGTACTACTGTACCTAATATTTTCTATCTTGAATAGGTATACTTAGGTTCTATTGCTATCTGTATGTATATATATATATATATATATATATATATATATATATATATATATATATATATATAATAGAGACAGAGAGAAACTAATAGTATATAGGAATAAAATGACAAAATCTGCAAGAAATTATGCTTTTCTAGATGAATAGAAATGTCTGAAAAGAAAATTTCTTAACAAGAGAGAGATACAAATATATATGTTTTCATTTCAGATAGCTTATGTTACTCTGTTTCCTTTTCGGCTGTGAAGATCAGGAGTGATGACTAAGCAAAACTCATTTATTCACAATTCTAGGCAATACGCCCGGATTGAGTTAGAACCAAGGCAATCGGACGGAAATGTTAGAATTGCCATGCAAGCTTGTTATAGTTATGTTAACAAGCGATTAGAACACAAAAGAACTATTTGAGGCTAATGGAAGACATAATGTGCTAAGTGAGGGTATTGTTGCACTAAGAACACATATAAAATGTGTTCAGTAATGTGAGGAAAGAGTGTTTTCTTCGACTCAATGGATGCACTTACCATTTAGTACTTCATTGTATAAGTAGCGTTTTTCAAGAAGAGTAGGGATTTGTATTTGTGGTTCTTCTGCAGCACATTCATGTGGTATATGTATGAGAATGTATGATGATGGTGCCGAACATAATTTCTTAAAGAGTGTCAACCTTTAATAAATAAGCAATGAAAGGTCTAAATATAGCTAGTTGCTGATGCAGCAAAATTGCTTTCATTAGGTAATAAGTTTGAGGCTCATTCTTGCTAAGAATTGTGCAAGGCATTGTCCCGTTGGTGATGCCTTACCTCTAAGTTATCCTTGTGACCTAGGGGTGTGAGAGGGAATGAAGAACCAGGCGTTCCAATAATCTTAATATCTCTCCATTAAGATCTTAACTTAAACACTGTACAATGATAATATTTATATTTTCACTTAGAGGATCTGAGGTGAAGAAGCACACAATACGTTTTACCAAATAAACGTGATCATTACCACTATATATAACTTTACCGCTTATTCCTAACCTCTGTTTATACACAGTTCCTAGTAGTTAATAGAACGATCCCATCTCTATACCTTGGGTAGCAGCAAATCTCTCGAATCCAAAAATGACATTATGGTTTATCTCGTGTGGAATGGTATCCACCTTGACTTGAGTGCACTAGATCAAATAGTTATGTAGGCTTACTTCAACTTACGCGCTGAAACTCAGACTAGAATTATCACTTCCCAAAAGGACACACCGCTTACGCTAAACTTCTGCTATTTAAAAGGTTCCTAATTTGCATAATCACGCTTCGCTTCTGGATTTGGTTGGAAAGAATTTTTCTTTTTCGGCCCAAAAGAACCCAAGAGGATAAATAATAGAAAAGAGTGATAAACCCGTCGCAATTGTAACAGAAAACAAATGGAAATACTGTTTGATAAGCCTACTTGTGTCTTCAAAAATTTTCATTGCGTTGTTTGGACTTTAAAAACTGACTCTGAAATCACATTTGCAGTTGATCTCTGCTCAGAATGATATGTTTTACAAATATACTATTTCGGTTAGGAATTGCTACCAATACTGTTCATTTTGTGACGTTTTAACCTAGAAAACCGTTTTAACTTTACATTTTCATATCCGTAGAATCACTGTTACTCCCTAAATATGTCTATTTGAGGCATCTCTATAGTTCATAGATTACTTCCTATTTAATTGAAATACACATACTACTTTTATGGGAGCTGCTTACATTAATAAAATACATCAACGAGTCAGCGCTGAGGTATTAATTACCTATATGATAAAAATTAAAAATCTGTTAGTGTATGAGAGGGATTTGAACATTTAACCCCCACCGTTGTGCACTCCACTGTCAGCCTACATGTGATTGTATTCTAACTTTTTAAAAATTTTACCAAATAAAAAATTTACCACTTATTAATCTTTGACAATATTGGACTTTCACGCTGTTCAACTACACTCCATCATGCGACACAACCACTTTTTCCTTCAATAGTTTACCAAATACTTTGTTCCTAACGATGTATTTTTCTGTTTCTTATGAATTATACATCATCCTATTACACGTTCTATACAGCTCAAATTAGAACAGGAAGACAACCTTTCAAAACTGTTTGGGTTACTCAATCTTATCAGAGATTATTGTTTAAATGCAATTTTTTTTCATTGACTCTCAGATATATACTTAGTTTATGAGCATAAATGTATTTGCTCTGAACCGCATAAAATGAAATAAAGTTATTTTTATTAATAATGAAAATGGAATATAATAGTCACATATGTGGATGAAAATGCATTATTGTCATTATGAAAGAAAACTCTCACATGTGTTAAAGTACTTCTCAAAGAAAACAAAAAAGGGGTGTAAGATAATTTAAGTTTTAATATCAACTTTTAAAGTGCTTTTGCAGATAATTTTTACTCTAATAATCTCTTGAATGCCACTAATGATTATTTTTCCAATACGCTTATAATAGAGAATCACTTACATGGGGAGAGATTAAATAAAATTGGATATATATAGATTAAAAAATTCTATGGCTCGGTACTAATGAGTGAGTGAGTATTACACGTCGCACTGTTCAGCTACACGAGGGCTTTTGGCGATGGACCACGTAATTTTTAGCTCGTTACTAACACTAGCAATGCACAAATTTGTTACATTTCTTTTTGCTTCAAATCCAATTAAACCCTAAATATTTTTCTGAATGTAATCTTTTTACTGACAACAAAATTGGATAATACAAAAAAAATTGGTATCAAACTTTTCCTTCACAAGGGGAAAAATGTCTTATTTACAGTGTTTTTTAATCGATGGGGAATTTTTTAACTTATTTATGACATTTACTGAATAACATGAATTAAATAAAATCATCTTATTCTTTCCCCGTCTATTTTTACCGCAGAATTCGAAATTCCTTGCATAAAAAAAAAAGAGAACGGCGGCTATTCTTCAAGGTACACTATGTTTCAAAGTCATTCAGATAGAATTTCCGTTCTTTTAATTTTCGATTACTCTTGCAAAAAAAAAAAAAAAATGTAAACGGTGGGAGGGAATCCCTACACTCATTGAATTATTTTGGAGAGAAACATTTCGAACTCTTCAGGCTCGGAATATGAAATTCGGCTCGAAAGAAGACGTTCTTCTTCAGAATAAGTCAAACAGGGAAACCACTGGGAAATCACTGAAGTGCGATCCTATTGTCCGAGGAAGAGCAAACAACGAAACACTTTTAATGATTCCTTCCAATCCTATCTGCACCCCCACCACCTTTTAGGGGAAAAAAAGATGTACCCTCCTTTTCCTTTCCCCGACTCAATTAAAGCTCGGTCGAACAAACACAAAACTTGTCCTTCGTCTCGCATTAATGTGTTGCCACCGGCCACAATCCAAAAGAGAGGTAAAAAAAATCGAGAAGGAGAGGAAAGAGAATGTTTTCGAATCCCAGTGGTTGTAAAAGACGAACGATTGTAGTTCTCCATAATTTCATTGAGATTCTTACACGAATTCGGCCGCAATTAGCACGTAGGTAATTAGAACCTGGAGCTATTTTCCAAAAGCCGAATCAAACGCTTTTTTGGTCCGTTATTTACTTGAGGCTCAACTCCCAGCGGTGAGTGGACGGAATCAATGCCCGGCGAGGCGGAAGAAATAATAGAACTGTGGATTTGTTAAACTCCCAAATAAATGACAAAGAATTCTTTTTCACCCTCATTCGAAAAGGGGGGAAAAGAAATAGAGAACTTTAATTTTTGCTTTCTTTTTGGAGTAAAGACAATTTACAGAGAGCTGGAGTCATTTTTTGAAAAGTAAAGCTTCTTTTTTAATTTCCTTGCTCAATC